TATTAAGTGTTTGGAATTTGCTTTGCAATTGTGAATGTTTGTGTTTATACAGTAACTGGTGCAGATTCATTTTATTTTCAGAAGTCAAATATGAGATGTAAATATGGTGTTTTACTATCTCCATTTTACCTATAAAAAAAATCAGGATGTGGGGCCTCATTTTAGCCTTCAATGAAAAAATAGCTGGAATTTCTCTTTAATAGATTCAGCTGCAAAAGAATAAACAGTTACGCTTGTTTTCTTTATTGGGTCTACACATGTTGTTCAAAGAGGTTAAAATTCTAGTTATATTTTTGCATGTTGGGAAGCTTTGTTGCTTATCTTTCAAATGATGTTGGATCTAATTCTAGATGAGAAGTAGAAAGCATTTCTTTATTTTGATTTATGTTGCTGGAAAATATTTTTGAAGTAGAGCGCTGTGGAGAGGAGTAAAACTGTGATCTAAATAATTTGGGTTTCTGGGAAGTTTAGCTCCATGATTATACCTTTATTTCTTCTATATTACAGGGATCTAAAAATTATTTTGCTGGCCTAAACAATGATCCTGCTTCTTACTATAATATAGTAAAGTAATTTGTCCCCAGCAATAGCCAGGCAGAACTATTGGGGGACGTTGTAGGTAGGGCATGATATAATGTGCCTGCAATTTGCTTTGAGCATATCTGACAATCAGAGGCATATAACAGAACCTTGCTGCTGTAAACATATTTAAGGCATCTCATGCTTCATGAATCTGGTGTGTTGATTTCCCAGTTGTCTTTATAGCATTCAATTCAATTGGAATAAGATTGTATCGTTGTAAGATAAATGTTATCACTGGTGAGGTCCAAGGCATGTGTGTATGTGTGTGTATGCACGCACACATGCATGCATGCACGCCTTCAAGTCAGAAATATTTGTGCACATGCACAGACACACTCATAAATATATAAATTTGTCAACTGGCCATTCAGTATCTTTCAGGTTAAAGTAAGACTATGGCAAGATTTCAGAAGTGGTTTGCTGCTGCTTGCTTCCTAGGGTTGATAGAGAGTGACTGGCCTATTGGCAAGAAGTTGCCAAAATGCTTTACTAATTACCTCACACAAATGGTCTGGGAGAAGCAGCAGCATTTATCAAATTTTGGCTGATCTTAAAAAAATCCATGCACATTTAGGCCAGGAAAGTGCTTGGGCAATTACCAGCATATCCAATGGCTTTAAGCTAGACTTGGAAAAAGTCGGAGGCAAACCACTGACAACATAGTTGCATCTACTTAACATTCTAGTAAAACTCAAGGGAGTCATTTGTAATTTAAAACAGTAAACCCAACTTAGTACCACTTAGTTATGTATGTTATCTGTGGAAGGTCAACATTTAGGAAAAGTTGCTGGTGCACAACTAGGGCTATAGTCAACATAATGCATATTTTAGCGACTTTTAAAATAGGAATCAACACCCTGGAACATTTGAGGTATTTTTGGGCATCACAAACCAATTATTAGGTGTCTAATGTTAGATCTACTTTAACATTTGTAACAGTAACTATTACATCAATGGAATTGATTTTAATTTTTCTGAAGCATTTAAATTTTCTTAAGTATTAAGTAGAAGAAGGCTGGGAAGTAAAACAATTCAAAGGATTCATCTCTGTTGATCTGTAGAAACTGAACTTTCTAATTTTACGTTTAAATATTTCATCAAAATTTGATATTAAGATATACGTGTATAGCTTGGCTAACAATGGCAACTTGGACTAGAATTGCTAAGTGATGCAGTCATAAAGCACAATGCCATGTGACCATGCAGCTTAGCAACATCTGTTCCGGCAGTCCTGGTTGCTGTCATTTGTAAGTAAGGACTTCACCAGTCATTAAGCAAGGACCTCGCATAGCTATAACTTATCACTTCTTGCCACCTTTCCCACTGATTGATTCTGAGAACCGCAGGGAAGGTCATAAGTACCACTCATTCAGCACCACCACAAATTTCAGTAGTTGCTGAATGAATGGATGTAAGCCTATAAGGCTACCCTTATAGGCTCACCAAAATGTGTACTCTATCCCCTAAATTCTCTCAGAAAGTTATATATTAAAATATCACATTAGTAATTCCCTATCTTTCAAGTGATAAATCCTTCATGAAAATCTAGATATCTAAAACATTTATGTTTGACTTACATTGATAAGTCAGCTTGATTTCCCAATTTCCAAGAAGCTGCTGTTACAAAGTCATTTAATCAGAGGATAAAAGTTGCAAGCACAAAATTAAAAGAAGTTAGAATAACTTGGTTTATTTGCACTTGAAGGGAACTGGAATGTTCTTTGATTACTATAATGTTGGTACATCTGAATTATATTTGCCTAATCATATTTGCCACCTGAATTGCTTTCTAAATAAGTCTTAAGAGAAGCAGAAGATGCAATTTGGGAATACAGTCTATTTTAACTATTTGAAATATAGTCTATTTCAGCCCTATTTCAACTCTAAATTAAATAAATGCTCTGAAACCAATATCAAATTAAGTATATTTGCCATTCACATCATCTGTACCTCACGAGTCAGAAGTCCTATAGCTTCCTGGAAAAGCATGATCATTAGCACATATTGACAAATATAAATATTATATTATATTCTGAAACAACCAAGATGCTGACAGGGTTGGTATTCTTGGCTGCTATCCTAGAGCTCAAGAGGTTGTGCCAAGGAAAAGATAAGAACTTCCAGTGATGAAGTTTTGAGCTTCTGGCTTGCTGCTATTAAGATTCCTTGCCAGGTCTCCATAGCAGTAACTGGTGAACAACAACAACAACAACTGTTCAAGGCAGAAAGGCCAATCCATTGGAAGTAAGGAATGAATTTGTCATCAATTTCATTACAGTAAGGATTAAGTGATTAACACCAGCTAATTCCTTGATAATCAGAATGAGCGATTTAGAAACTATGTTCAAGTATCTGATTATGGATGGGGAAAGAACAAATAGGTGGGAATGACAGTACTTGGGGAAAGAAGCAAATCTTTTAATATCACTTGGATCTCTATTCTTTTTGCAAACACTTTTTCATAGTTTTATACTTTTCTAACATTTAAATGAATTGTTTTAATTTTGGAGATAAGTATTAGGGTTACCATCTTTATTTCTGGCAGGATAGTGTTCATCAAGAACATAACTGAATGGGTACTATTAGAAAATTACCAAAATAATTGAAGTCTACCTCTAGATAGAAAACATTCTGTTTGTTCATCCCTTGTAAGTTTTAGATATATAGACCCGGATGCATAGATCCATTATATTACATAATTCTTTTAACACAAGGATTTTGTTTTTGGATCATAACATTTTCCAATGGTATATATGACAAATTACTTTGTAGTTAAGATTCTTCAAAAGATAATTAAAACATGAGAATTTGTCATTCAAAATAAAACTGTATAAAACTGTATACCTGTGTTCTTAAATACCGTACATATAAATTACTCCCTAGATTTAAATATAGAGATATCAGAGGAGAGAATAGAAATAGTCATATATTTATCACATTTCTACTTGTTGAGTTATATTGATATGAAACTCTTGTACTTTAGGGGGGCAATATTATCTCTTCATGTATTGATTTGGGTGGTGTTTTTTTCCAGATCTAGTCAATAAGTGTGGCAAAACCATGGATTACTTCTGCAATGCAAATAAATCTCCCCTTTTTAACTAAACTCAAAAGAGGGTTTCTAAGATTTTATTTTTTAAAAAATATAAACAGTCTTAAATTGTTCTGAGGTAAAAGTTCCTAAAATCAATACAGGGAATGAATTTAAATATGGTATCTGCATCATATTGGAAAAGTATTTTTAAGAATAAATGTAGCTGAAAAACAGGATGTGAATATTCTCATTTTCCTAATTAGAAGGAAAAACAACAACAAACAGGAAAAGTATTAAATGAAAAAATTACCCTATCTCTGTTGTGGCTTTTAAAAAGTGTTATTTTTAATGGAGCAACACTTTTCCAATTCAACCTCAAAGAAATCTAGCTCACTCAGAAATAATGTTGATTTGAAGAGATAATCCCCATGCACAGACAAGGAATAATACCATTCAGTGTTGAAATAAACTTTGAAGGGGAGTCCAAACTTTCAAAATTTAGATGCATATTATTTTTTTTAAAGCAAGGTGGACAGAGGGGTGCCTGTGGATCCTAGTATGCCTGGAAACATTCTCTTTCCTATCTTCAGATTCTTGCCCCCATTTTGTAAAAGACCCCTTGAATTTAAATAAACATAGGAACAGCACAAAGTAAAGACCCAGCCACTAGCATCAACTTATTTCATCAGAAATCCTCCGAGTCCCATTCTTAGAAAATTGGGTGTGGTCGCAACAAAAGCCTCATTGACCTTCTCGACCAGAAAAAAAAGTATTGGGAAGTGGGAAGGATCCTGCATAGCTAGAGAGAGTTACAAAGCAACTTTGCCAAATTGACTTCTGTTAAATGGGTGTTTTGTGATGAGCCACACTGCTGTGGAAATCCTTTTATGAGTACTCCAATGATAAGCTTTGAAAATTCTAACCCAAGTAGGTTTCTTATCCCTACTTTAAAGGGCACTTCTGTACTGAAGAGCCCACACATTTCTCTTTGCATTCACTTATTTAACAATTCAAAATCCTTTTTCCTTTGATGTGTAGTGTAAAACTTATATATTATTTAATGCACTAGCGTTTTCTGTTTAGTATATTCTTCCCTATATATAGTGTCTTTCAAATATGCTGGACTACAGTTTCCATCACCCAGTGTGGGCCTTATGATTTCAACACACCTAAATGGCACAAGATTAAAGGAAAACACTTTAGAAATGCTCCCTATGAAGGCTATGTGTATTTCCTTTGCAAGAGTGTCCATAATCAGCCTCATGGAATCGTTTTAAAAAGCTGCAAGCCTGTAAATTTTTATGTTTCTTTTAAAATGTCTTTATGCATACACGAGGCTTTTCACTCAACTTGATTTTAATTTAGATATTTTTAATTTAAAAATAACCAGAAGCTGGGATGCTGCAAAACAAGCATACCAGCTTATAATAAGAATGCCCCTAGACCTTATAGGCATCCTTTAAAAGTCCTTAGGAAATAAGGATTGGTGGGTAGCTACAGCAATGCTTACATTGAAAAATGCTCTCCTGCCTAGAAAGGTAAGCTGGGGTAGTGGGGAGCAATCTGTCCAGTTGGCTTTCTGGTAAATGGGTGTTCTCAAACATGTTATGGGACTTATTTGGATTTATCATGGGCCTTCATTCCCAGGTGCACCATTTTCTAAAAGTGCCCCAAAGCTTCCAAATGTGCCTCTGAGCCTCAAAAGTTGTGCATCTTTTTCTAAACACTTGATCATTAAATTATAGAGCCATTAATATTATTGTAAGAAACTCCTTGATAACCATGCAACTAATCAAACAGGAAAAGTACTCATACCACTTTGCCCTTTTCATAATCACATATCCTCTGTAGTATTTGTAAATTGTTAGTGTTAATTGCATCTACTCAAAATGGGCTCTCAAAGTTGTAGTTTTGCATCATGTGACAACCTGAACAGAGAATTTAGGTTCTATCTATATTCCATTTAACGTCAATGGCAAAATTCCCAGAAATATTCATTGTATTGCCTTGCAGCCTCAAGGCAATTAAGGATATTCCTTGATAATTCATGAGCAGCCATTACATCAACTCATCAAAAGAAACAAATATACAAATTATTTATTTTTCATGGAGGGAAGTATGTTAAAATACATGTCATTAATCTTTAACTTGGGATCCATTAGGTTTCTTTCTTGTTTTTTTGTGTTCCATTTTGCACAGAAACCTGGTATCTCCAGTTGACATCACAATCTGTTAGGGATTTTTTTGTGTCATGAGCATGATGTCAAAAAGAAAGGCACTGATGTCACAGGCTCTCTAGTGCAATAACAAGGGATGAAAAATGACAGGGCACCATGTTCCTCCTGTAACTTATTTAAATTAAAATAAAGGTGATGTATTCACTGGAAGCACCAAATTAGTCTAACACTGGCAACTGCTACAATAGCCAGTGTGTGAATTCATGCTACCTAAGGACCAAGAAACACACTCACACAAAAAACATGGTCTCTCTTAACAACCAACATACATATATGTTTTTCCAACACTTAAAAAAACCCTATATATTGGAGTTTCAAAGTTGACTTGCTGTCTTGTTTCTTAATGTTAGCAAGGCATGTTGTGTTTCATTCACTATGAGATCCAAATCAAAATCTGGAAATAGGATGTAGAGTAGGAGATGGGACATTAAAGGCAAAAAAGTCATTGATCAGAAAACGTACTTTTTGCTAAAAATGGGGAATAAAGCTCAAGAAAAGCCCACAAAAGATCTACCATTTAATGTTGCAAGTTCATGAGAATGTAGGAAATTCTCACAGGGAGGGACGATTAATTTCAGAAAATGAGTGAAGACAACCCTCTTGGATGGAAAAAGCATTGTGAAGAGCTAGTGAAGCTAAAAGTTAAAAGGATAATGCCCCACAGTGTAGACTTCCTGAAGTAGCTTAGTAGTTGTACTGGCGCTGGCATGGTTGGTAGACAAAATGGCCTTGGGATTTGGCCCGTTGTGGGCGGCACTCTCTGGCACGGTTCTGCCTCTTCATGACTTTCTGACTGAACTTGTGCTTCTCTGCCAACTGCTTTGCCCTCTGAATCCGACGCACTTGATTAACCTTCTCCAAGATGGCAGTCTTGGTAGCAAGAGAAGTGGAGTGATGTGGGGGACGGCGCTGTAAACAGTTTTCAGGTATTTCACTGTAGAAAAAGGCATACAAAGTGAGGTGGACACAGCATTTTTGATATGGCAAGGCCCTATTTCAAAGAACAAAGGGCATATCGTTTTCTCTAAATAGCAAAAGAGCGATTCATAAAAATTAATGTAAGTAACTCATCCATAAATTTGGTAAGGAACACAGGCTACAACTCCCACAATATACAACAAAATGCACAATAGCTGTATGTATAGACAATTCATGAAGTGTCCCTCCTACTTTTTTCAGGGTATATGTAACTGGATCTGTTCAGGTAGTCAGTTCAACTATGCAATGAAAACCAAAGGAGAGCAAATGGGGATCGCTGTTGGTCTCATGCATCCTGGCAGCAGGGGGCGTATTTGAGCATGAATCTACTGTAATGTATATTCACTGTCCTCCACAGGTAGCAAAATTCCTGAGTTACATCATTCCAGCAAGTAGGGAAATGTACCGATGTAAACAACATTAGTAAGTGCTTCTTGCTTGTCTATATGATTCTAATCACAGAGAGGAATCGAACGTCCAAATAAGAATTCTATCATATTTGTAGGCATATTTGGAGCTCACAAGTATGAAAAGTACTCTGTGAAAGTTGAGAATATCTGAATATACTTTTATTTTGCTACATCAAAGAATCCATCTGGAAAACAAAAAACATTTAACTGGGAGAGTGACATTACAGCCAGCCTAATAAAATAGGAAGTGATAGTCAAATAAGAACTTAGCAGCATTTGCAAGAATGAAATTCCTTAAGCATTCTTTTTACAATAAATAGGATCCTGCTCACATATACTTTGAAGTAAGTCCCACTGATTTCACAGACCCTTCAAAAAAATGGAGGGAGGAAGTTTTTCCAAGTTGTTGCAATCCTCTCCTAACTTCTGGCTCCTTTTGGATGTACTTTTATATAAGTTTAAATGTATACATACAGTATTCTGCTTGCAATGCTGGGAGATATAACCTTAAAACACTGAGAACCCACCAGCTCAGAGAACATTGAGCTACAGTATATTTTTCCCTAACTGAATTTTGTGAAAAGGAACCTGGGAGGCTCTGGAACTATTAGGCCCTATCCTAAACTTACTTCTCCTGGATGTTCTCCTCAGGATCCTCTCTTTCCACAATGATGCTGGTGGTGGTGGTGACATATACAGACATGCTGGGATGTTCAATCAAGAGGTCCTCCATAGGGCTGCTCTCCATACTGACAGGATCTGGACCTTCTGCAGTAAAACAGGGGGGAGGGGTAACAAACCAACTCTCATCCATCAAGCAGGGGTCAGGCTGAGAGGGCATGGACCTGCTGACACAATCACTGAGGGAGTAGGGTGAAGACGTGGTAGGTGGAAGGGACCCATGGCGGCAACGGGAAGCGCAAACAGAATCCTTCTCACCTACCCACTGCTGAGTGCCAAGACTTGAAGCCAAACTATCTAATAAGAGATGGCAGCAATCACCGGCCACACAAAATGGGACAGCCAGAACAGCAGCAACAATGACACAAACAACATTCAAAAGAAACATCATAGTGCAAAGCCATTCAACAGGAAAGCATGGCAGTGCAGGGTGCATACAGGAAAGAAAACGATGCACACATTCAATATATTCAATGGATGGGAAGGAAGAGGGAAGGGAAGGAGAAGAGAAAGGAGGGGCATTATTAGTGAAAAAGATACCCCAAAGGCATTGGTATGACTCATCCTGAAGTCTTCCCTGAGGGCTTAGGACTGGCCAAAGAGGTTTTTCTATCCTGTGACTCCAATACTCAGCATCACTTGAGATTGCAGTTATGTGTCACTTGTGGTGTGCTTTCTGACATTCTTTGCCACATTGTCAGGTGTTCCATTTGGTATAAACCACTGTGTGCTATTTTATTTGTGGCCATAAAATAAGTCTACTTCAGTTGCCTGTGTAAATATCCCAATAATTATCATGCTGCATAAAGGAGGGAGATAAATATCCTGAACCAAATCAGGTGGTAGATTATGCTACTGGTTATTAAATAACCAAATAGACACAAGAGTAAAAAGAGTATTTGCAAATAATAAGAATGCCTAAATCTCTCCCAAAGGGTAAAAATCAATTGCTGATCAGCTGTAGATACTAATGTCTTTAAATGTGTGCTGTTCTAAATTCAAGGAGATTACAGTGAGACTTTATTTTTGAAAAAAGGAACAAAAAATGATTCCAGAAGGAAACTTGGGAACAGGAAGGATGATTTAAAATTAGATGAGTGGCATTTTTAGCAGACAAGGATTATTTTTAAAGTGCCTCCCTCAATAAAACATACTTTCTAGCTTATCCTACTAAAATTGACCCAATCACTAGACACTAGAAGAGAGATTTTTTTAAAAAAAATTAAAGCAATAATCCTATACATTTTTAGAGAGATCTATCAGCCTCAGCTGCATAATTTTAACAAATATTACCCCAACATTTATCATGTAATTGACACTTGTTTGCAACTCTTGGAAGCAGCTCTGTCTTTTCTCAGGCTCATGTAGTAACCTCATTGGCTTTACTTAACTTCTCCAGTTTCAGGGGGGAAATTGGATTGTTTTAAAGAGTTGCATCAGGTGCTGTGTTTGTACCCCACATGCTTCAAAACATCTCTTTGGGATTAATGTAAGTATTACACATTCCTATTAAGCATGTAAACCTCAAATGCTAAAAGGTCTATCAAGCTGGATGATCACCAAGTTTGCATTGCAATGACCTGATTCTCTCCCACCTCCTGAAAAATGTCATTTGAGGTCTCTGTACAAAGAAAAAAAAATGGCCTGACTGTCTAGATGTCATCCTTCCTGCATATGAACTCATACTGAAAGCTGGGATGGTGGCACCCTAGTTATGCAGCCAGACAATTTTTCTTCCAGTTGTATGTTGCAGCAGAAAGCCTTTACATAGGAGATGGGTGGGGGAGGAACAATGGCCCATTTTATCCCAGAGACTGGGAAGGAAAATGAAGCCTGTTTGTTACAGGCAATTTATGTAAGCAGAGAACAAGCTGAACAGTTTTTTTATAGGCACCATAAAACTGACTTAAAAGATGGTGGTGAGGCTTGTTGATAGGTTGCTTCTTAAATTCTACGTACCAGAGAGCTCCCAGTTCAGGCAGTGGAAGCAGAATTAGCTAAGAGTTCTCACAAACAGGAAAGCAGGCCATGTCTAATCCCCCAGATTGTCTATTGTCGCAAACTGCAAAGCAGACGTTTTGCTATTTGAACGGTGCCACAGCTGAGCTGGAAGAAAATGTCTTTGGCTGTTAAGGAGGGTGATGTCATGGGAACATGGCAGCATGTTGCTATGTCAGAATTGATGTAAACATCACTTGTGGAGAGCCTTCGGGAGTGGATTTTCAGGACACAAAGGCAGCTGCGGTTGACAGAGATTTGGAGCTGCTTTGTATTTCTGCACAAAGCCAATGCTCACAGTATTAATTCTTTATTGTATTTGCCTTCACGTTGCCATTTCCTTCTCTACTGCAATCATTCCCAATGTGATATTCCAGAAACCTTTGCCACCTAAATTAGAATACTTGTGTTGCAATGCCCTTTTCCTTGATTTGTTGGTTTCAAAGCTAAGGCTTGGAAGTATCTTTACTAACTCAGATCATCGCAGAAAATTGAAAATTTTAAAAGTCTTCTTTTCACAGTGTTTCTATTAGAACCAAACTGGACTTTTGTATGGCTATCACTACCCAAGCCCATGGGCACAACACTAAGATTACACATGGAAACATTTGCTTCAGTTACTGGGGCATTGTGGACACCCCAAATCAAGTCTCTGGTTAGATCTGCCTACCTTGGGGAAGGGAATTATCTAAAGAAAAATGAACTGGCCTCTTGTTTTGATTAAACAGGCGAGCTCTTTCCCTGTGCTATTTACCTAATTCTGAATCGCCCTGCCTCAAAGCATCTCTAACTGCAGAAGGAAAAAAGCATTGGCTGCTGTAACAAGTTTTATTTTATCCTCCATAATAGGGAAGCAAAACTTGTTTCTTCCAAAGGGTAGCAGGAACTCCAGAATCACTCCAAAAGTACCAGTGCAATATAATATGCTACTATGATGAAGGGGGAAAATAACTAAGTGCATATGGGATAATAAGATTAACCTCATTGAATGGAAGTTTCAATTTAAATTATATCAACTTTTGTTCTTGTCTTGTTTGGGGGAATTTGCCTTCGGGTGCAGAGTTCACCAATCTTTCCAGCTCTGCGGACTGGCTGAGGGTGTGTGTGTGTGTGTGTGATGGTTCTATGTGAGTGGTGGGCAAGTACGCACAGCTCCATTCGCACACACGCGTCAGGCACACGTGCCCGCCGCTCATGTAAATGGAACATGTGCATGTGCACTTGCCCACTGTTCGTGCAAATGGGGATGCATGTGCGCACTCGCCCATCACTTCCGCAGCCCAGTTTCAAAGGGCTCAAGGCCCGGTAGTGCCTCCTCTCATGTGATCTTGGATTTGAAAGCTGGGCATTTCTGCCCTGGTGCAATGGTATGTGGGAAAGACCCTGGGAGACAGGAGGGAGAGCTGCAGACTGGACAACTAGTATATAACTCGTATCTCAGTCCACAAAACAGGGAGAGTGTGGGAAACATTTCAGAAAAGACCCTCCCTAGTTTTCTAGAGAGAGAAAGGAAAGTATGGAAGAAATACTTTCAGTCTTGTAAAATTCTGTTAATATAACCTTATAATAAAGATAGAGCTAGTACTCCTGAACGTGTTTCTTAACTGGACTACTTCACTGGGCTAACATCTGGGCAATGACCTCAGCAGCTGCAAATTACTTTGCTCCCAACACACAGCTTTCACCACATCTTCTGAAGCTCTATGCACAATTCTAGGGTCACTTGCACAAATACACCAACACAGTCTTACTTACACACCATTCTCACACTCCCGTATAAGGATTAATAAGTCAGCAGGCAATTTAAAACAGGGGAAAACATGGAATCCCATGCAGTCTCTGTCAGAATTCTGATCAAAACCAAAACTCCCTGCAGCTTTTCTAAAATTAAATGGAGAAATCATGGCAGCTCACCTGCCTGGCTTCCATTTCAAACAGCAGCAGCAATTCTGAATTCTCATGTATTTGTATACAGAATACAGGAATATAAAGTGTTTCATGCATCAAGTATAACTTCTTTTTCAAAAGTATTTAAATTAGAATTCTCATAGACAACAAATTGCATACTGTGTACCAGTGCACTGATCCAATTATCTCATAGAATGTAATGTAGATTATGATTACTTAATCCAGAGCTGTGCCTGCAAATTTTGAAGGCGATTATCCTAACTGCCTAAGGACAACAGTTGCCTATTATTTTATTAGCTTGCAAAATATATTGTTTGCAATCTGGCCCTGGAAAGAAACTTTACTGAAATAAATGGTGCCTACTTTCTACTTCCAAAACAAAATGAATTTTAATAAAAGGCCTTGATCTATTGTAATTCATAGAACCCTGGTGCTTAGATTTAATTAGAAATCCAAATCATCTCACAATTAAATATTACCATTTATTCTGCTAGGTCAGGGGTAGGCAACCTTGGCTCTTTTATGACTCGTGGACTTCAACTCCCAGAATTCTTGAGCCAGCACGTCCACGAGTCATAAAAGAGCCAAGGTGCACCTAGCCCCTGTGCTAGGTGAACTGAGATCTTCTGATAGAAAAAGATTCTGGTTTCTATTTAAAATTGTTTTTCTTCATTCTCTCATTTTCTCTTTGTTAGCCTACTACTCATAATATTAAAATAGGAAAACTTTAAATTCTTATGATAATCCAATTTATTTACAAAAACATTAGCTTGATGCTTAAGCAGATGACATCCTCCCTCTGTTGTAGAAAAATAATGTGTATGTCATTGGACTACTCATCACAGCTGATGGATTTGAAAGTGGATACTCTGCTGATGTCTTAATAAGTCTTGTGCAATTCTGGTACCAGGAAGAGGGTGATCATAATTATATCCCTGATTAACCAGAGGAATGTGGTTAGCTTTTTGTTTTTGTTTTTCCCCCCAAGCAACCAGCATTGCATTTTAATTAAGATGTATACAGACCATGATTATTTTCATATAATCATTACATATAGTGATTATTTTGATTTAAACCAATCTTCTCCAATTGATGCCCTCCAAACAGAATTAGTTTTAATTCCAATATCCCCTAGCTAATATAGTAGCTATGCTGGTTAGGAATATAGAAATGAAAGAAACACCAGGTTACCAAAACTGGATAGCATATAAATTTAATAAAATATTATGTATTGTAATGGGGGGAGGTGATGGCTCAGCGGTTAAAGATGCTAAGCTTGTCAGTTGGAAAGCTGATAGCCTGAGCGCTACATGACAGAGTAAGCTCCCATTACTTGCTCCAGCTCTTGCCCACCAAGCAGTTTGAAAGCATGCAAATGTGAGTAGATAAATAGGTACCACTTCGGTGGGAAGGTAAACAGTATTCCGTGCACCTTGGCATGTAGTCATGCTGGCTACATGACCATAGAAATGTTTTTGGACAATGCTGACTCCCTCGGCTAGGAAATAGAGATGAGCATTGTCCCCTAGAGTTGGAAACAACTGGACAGGGGAAATCTTTTACCTTTATGTACTGTTATTATTATTTGTTTCCGGAAATGTTATGAAACATCCATCATTCTCACCAATGTTGGCTGGGTTAACTCACATACTGCAATATGTAAAAAGATGGGGAAAATGTGGGCCTTCAGATGTTGCTAAATTGCAACTGTCAGCATTCCCTAACATTGGCCATTTTGCCTAAGCCTATTGGGACTTATAACTCCAGCTATAAATTCTGGAGGGCCAAAGGTTAGGAAACAGTTGAGGCAAGGAACTATATTCTTTCCTCCAGATGTCTTTCTTTCATAATGCCACGTTTGTAAAACCTGTGTCTGTCATTAAAAAAAAGGCAACTCTACATTTCCCCCTTAGTCAGAAACTGCTGGTTAATGAACAGATTATCCTCATCCACTACTGGTAGTTCACTTGGCTTCCATCCCTGCCATTCAATGCATTCAGTTTTTTTGTGCTTCTTGTCTCTTCTCCAGGGAGAAGTTATGCACTGTTCTCCACAATGTTTTGAATAACTACTACAAATGCTCATTGCATGATCTGATGGTTGTATGGAAGGGAATTGTGGTTTAAAGAAATTTGGAAGATACCAAGTTGACTCTGTCTTTTTCAAGAAATAGCTGAGCTAAGGCAAGAGGGGGGCCCTGAGCCCTATTGTTTAGCTGCCTTATTCCTGTCTCTCAACTGTTTCCCACAGTTCACCTAAACAACTTTGAGGCATTTTCATTTGAATTATATTGGAGAAGTTTAAATTCATGCATCTGTATTCCACAACAAATAATTGATAAACAGTTGAACATTGGGAAGGAATATTGGAGAAACAGGATTGTATGCTGCCTTGCCCCATTTTCTCAGTCATTCAATAGGAGAGTATGTTGCATCTGCTAATTCTCCATGCCTTATTCATGACTGTAGCACTCATTGCTTAATGCTCTAGTTTCTGTTCAGAAGTGTTAAAGGCTCTTACTGCATGAAACACATAAAGCCAAAGACACAGATCAAATGCAATCATGTTCTTAAGGAAACAACAATACTTTTAATCTGAAACCTGTTTTAAAGTATACTCCAGTATACAGGGAAAAGTAAAAAGGGAAGTATTGTAGTTTAGTTTTATGTCAAGATATTAAAATGTCACTTAATAAAAATAAAGAGGATTGGTAAGAAGAAATAAGTTAAAAACTAAGGTATGGAGAACATTATTGACTTGGCTTCTTCACTTAATTTGCAAGCAAATTATTGCCATTAAAAATGGTTGAGTCATATAATTTCTGCTCAACAGCAAGGCAGAAGTCTAGCTGGCCTGAAAAACTAGTCTGGAAAACACAATTTCAAGCTAAAAATGTAGTTGTAAACAGATTATTTGGATTCTTGCCAGACATGGTTTCAAACATGGGTATGGGAGAGAAGCTCTTGTAGATAGCTAACGTAACCAGTGATCAAGGACTATCTATGTATAAATTTAAGAATTGCTGCCTAACTTTACTTTTGTTCCAATTTCTCCTTGTTTCTTTTTTTCCTCTATATCACTTTTTAAAAGTGCAACTAGTCACACTCCTTACATTGTGCAATTTGAGAACAGTTATGTGAGAATCCAATCATTTACTCCAATGTTTCTCACCTGGCAGATCAATAATAAGCCATCCATCTTCTTCTTCCTCTTTAGAAACAAAAGGCTTAGGTTCTTCAACGACTTCACCTGAGCTGCTATCATTGAAGAAGAGGCTGGTGAAACGCTGGAACATGGTGGGAAAAGGATTTCTAATATAGACTTTGAAAGAAAAATGGAAGCACGGCTATAAATGCTTGTTTCAGTGCGTGTAGCCAGGAGATGCTTCGGTGGTGTAAATTTGGGGAGAAATTGATGGACGAGTCTTCCAAAAACGCAGGAGCTGTCTGATGCTGGGGTATATTTTCCCCTCTGAAGTCTTATCTGATTTGAGTTCTCTATAGTGCAATCATAAGGTTCTTCACTTGGTTTCAGTGTAAAGGCCTGCAAAGATTAAGGGTGGGGTGGAGAGAGAGAGAGAGAATATAATTTAATTTTTTTAAAAAAAAGCAAAAGTGCTTTGAATCACAAGGAACTCAGATGATCCTGATAAAGAAGGGGAAGAGAATTCCTGGCATAGATCATAAACTTAATTTGCTCTGATTCTGACCTTTTCCTGATGTCTTTTAATTTCATCTCTATAGGGTAGCCTTCCTTCTTACTCTCACTGAAAACCTTTCTTTAGTGATGACTTGAGCTCTTTGAAGATCCCCTGAGTCTTGGGGAAAGACTTTACCTACAGGCCCAGCCTAGTTGTATTAATGTGAATATGTTTTCCCTCATAAACATGCAAAGTTGCTTCCTGTTCTAAGACCCTGAATTGGATTTGTTAAGAGGACAAATTCAGGATTTCTTTTGATACTCATATTGCAAGTAATAGTTGCTAATTCAGGATATCAGTCAATTAATTGTCTGTTTTCTTACCCCTTACTTTCATTCTACCCTTGAACTTTTCTACTCCAATGAATCCTGCCAATTTGAGGCCATCTCTTGGGATTAAAAATTTAAAATCTCCCTTCAGTTGCACTCAACTCTACGTAATTTTCCTTGGCATCAGTAAAGCACACATTTATCATTGCCACCTTCTGAGATATTTTATTTGGCTAACCCCAGTCTAATCACATCTATGGGATTTCTTGATGACCTCTCACCCAAGCACCCTCTTCAGTTTTTGAGACCTGGCAAGATTCAATAAGGTGTGCTATATGTCCCATATTTGACCATGTTAGCTGGAGATTTTAGACACTGCTGTTTCAACCCCTCTATAAGACACAATGTTGGGATTACCTCACTATCTCCTCACACCTGATATTAACAATTCCAATATCATCACTGTCCACAATACGGAATTATAGCATGTTGCTGTTGCTTAACCCAGTGACTCTTTTTCTTCATCTATTACCTTCTTTAAAATCTAGCTTTTATGTATATCAGTGATACAACTAACTTATTTACTTCATTCTACCATAATTAGGTTTTATAATACACAACCCCAAGTTTCTGTATGTGGTTTTCTGAATTGGATCCTTTTATAACAGAAGTTTGGCAGACATTTTTACTAACACAATACACAAAACAACTTAGCACACTTATTTTACTTGCAGATATAGTACGCCACCACTAGGCTCTCTTGCATTTGTGTTTTTGCTTTTCCCCCAAAATCTATCTTCTCACCCACAAAAAGGTTTCCTGCAATTGCTATAAAGCACTAGGCATAATTGCTAGTATTATTTTATTCTTGCTGCTATTAACTATCAGCTTGCTATGCTAAGTCTAGATACCAGAAACAGACTAACAAAGGTTCATCAGTGGTCAATCTATTCCAATCTTCTTTACTGAATGTCCCTAAATGAGTTGGACTACAAAACCAATGACATCCCAGTCATCTTGCCCATAGGACATGATCAGCTTTGCAATCCAACTTACGGGTGGGTTTTAGGTTGGGGAAAATAGGTTGCTTTTGCAATTAAAGAACTTCAAGGAGAAAAATCCTCCCACCCACTCCCAGCAAATATTTCCACTGTTAAAAGAATCAGTCTGTGGTTTCAATCTGACATTTAAACTAGTGTTATGCATTTCTGTCTTGCAGTTCCTCAACAGCTTTCTTCTAATATGTTTTTCTATCTAATTTTCAGAAAAATTGAAAATTTATTTCAAAATTTTCTTGATTTTTTAAATGTTATCTTATTGCTTTTGGTGAAAGGCAAGGCTGTTTTGGGGATTAGGGTTTATTGTTACCCCTCTTTCCATCATTATGAAGCCCTCCTGGCTGCTTTCACATCTTGAAAAAGCCAGATAATGGGGGATTCCTTCCCTTAATGTAAGTGTGGGAAGCCAAGAAATTTAAAGAGCCTTTGAAAGATAGCTAAGAGAGATACGACATTTATACATCTCTTTGCCAACATATAGCAACACTGCAGTTACCCTTGAACATTTCATTCACATTCTTCTTAGTTGAAAATAATTCTCAAACAAATTTTCTGTTATCTAGGTCAGTATTTCCCAGATAGCATGCAAAAGGGATTGAAGTCCATTCTGGCTGTGAAATTCTGAGAATTAGAGTCCACCCATCTTAAAGTTGCCAAGGTTGAAAAAAGTTGAGAAACACTGATATAGATTTGATGAGGATTGGTAGAAAACTTATGCAGAGAATGTTGTGGTACAGCAATCATTTAAATCTACAGTTTCTTCTACTGCTAACATTCACTGACTCCCTCCCAGCCAAACCTAAAAGACCAGTATTATTTCCATGCTTGCTATCCTCACAGCAACCTTGAGAGAATTTATGCCAACTATCCTTACAGCGACTCTGGGATCACAACTGACAGAAGGTCACTTCCTCTACTGAAGAGAGATTTGAAAATAAAAGTCCAGCATTCTTAATTGCTATGCGGAATTGGCTCTAAAGTTATTCCACCCTTAGTAAATAAAGCAAAAGGCTTGCTTCTTTCCATCTTTTCAAATACTTGAACGCAAGCATTGCATTCATCCAAACTGATGGAAGAACATCAAGAGCTGGTTCCTCTCTTAGCTACAAAAGAAGGATGGGTCAGAACTCTGCTACCATTTCATAGTAGGAACATTTGCAATTGTTTGCTAGAAACGTTTTTTTTTTTATAGTGGTACCATTAAGCCAAGGCTTTGAATCAGAAATCCAGGAATTCACTTGGTAGAGCACTCTCAGATACTGCCAAGTTTCAATTCCACTTCCAAACTGAATATAGTAAACATTCTGAATTAGCAATTTTACTTCTTAATTACTAATTAAACAATAATGTACTCATTTTTATTTTCATCAAAACTACAGGTTTTCAGTTATGTCCAGTCTATCATACTAACAGCAGAGAAATTAATGAATAATTGTGTCCATTCATTTACACATTTATTTATTTTTCAAAAAATATATCTATGCCACCATTTAGGCTAAATCTCTGCCAAGAAAATATGCCTACACTAAAAATGCCAAAAGATCTATTTGAAACAGCAGTTAAAATTATTTACAACTAATTTAACAACTAAGAAAGACAATTTAAAATCGAAGTGCGTTAATATTGACCATACAAAAAGTTTTTTTAAAATCAGCCTACCAGTTCAGTGTAACACATCTTCAGAAGCATTTTTATAGATTACTTTTATGCAAATCAGATTTTCTGACATTAGCTCAATCAAATTATCTTTGTCAAATATTTGCCTAGTAGTAAGATGATTAGTAACACAGATCCCTACGGGATTATAATTTTCTTCAAATTGTAGTAAGGATGGAAGAAATATGTTTAGCTCACTCCTGAATGCAAGCTTATTTAGTTTCCTATTTATTTTAACCGATACACAACCTAAAACTTTGCCCAATCATCCCAAATTTCTTTACAATTGTCAGTACAGTTCATTACCCAATTTTAAAATGCACATTCAGGAAAAAAAAGCTTTTAAAAAAAGATATGATGGAAAATTGTTTGCAAAAGCTAAATAGTTTGAGAAATTTGTATTGAAAGTACAAATTTTAGTCTGAATTTACAGTATTAAAAATTTTCAATGAATCACACTTACCATATTTACAGAAACAAGAAATTGGGGAAAAAACCTGAAATGGACAGATTGGCCAAGCTATAAGACAAAGAGGAAAAAAATCAGTTGCCCTACTGACTACCTGGCCAGAAATTAAACAGCAATTGACACTGTCTAGAGCAATTGGCAATTTTTTAGAAATGTAGGGATGCAATTTAAAAAAAATCACTGAAGGGAGAAGTCTATAAATACAGTTTGTAGAATGGTTATACTTGTGTGTGTGTGTGTGTGTGTGTGTGTGTGTGTGTGATATGTATGTATGTGAATGTCTATAATATAATGTAGAAGTACTTGAAAAGCTCAGGTTTAATAATGCAAATCTCACTACTAACATTATTAATAGTTGCTTAGATACCAGAAAGAACTTCATCTGTTCTAAATGCTTTAACAGACCTTGCACAAAGGAGGGGTGTGTGCTGCATGGTTCCTTTTCTACCTTGCAACTGCGTGATTTTATGATAAGGTAGGTCTGCACTGGAAACAGTGAAAATGCTGTGGCAGACAGGGATTACACAGTGTAATCATTTGGACATTTATCTAAGGCGTGAAAAGCCAAGGAAAGGGTAGAAAAAGTGTATCTCGGGCCCCATATGTAGCCTAACAGCATATATTTTGCATTTCTATTTCTTTCCCTCAGAGTTGGTTCCCCCACCAAAAAAACCTCCCATCATTTTTGTCTGCATGTATGCATTTGAGGTTTGGGGCAGATTAAGAACCCAAAAGAGGAACTTAAACTTTGCAGAAACAAGCCACCTAAATTTCCTTGGGCTCCAGTTACTTACATGTAAATGCCATGCAAAGCCTGGGGTGACCTTTCAGCCAACCGGAATTGTGTCTTTCTGGGATCAGAAGGTAAGGCTTTGGAGAAAGAAAGCTCTTCCACCTCCCTGAGGCTATATCCATTATTAATCTCCAACTTCTACTTTCCATTGGTAAAAAGGTTATTATTCTCTTTAACCAGGATTATATACTCAATACTAAATCCCATTGAATAGGACACTCTGGCAGACAGGATAGGATTGTAGTCTCAATCTGGTTTTCTCATATCCCATTCTTCTCCAATGTTGTGTCCTCCAGATGTTTCTGATTGCAGTCGTTATTGCCAAACTCTTTTGGCAGATTAGAATTCTAAAACTACACTTAATTTATCTCAAAGAATGCATATCTCACCCATTTAGAAGATGCAATGATATAGAACCTATCCTAGAGAGAATTCTGGAGTGAAGAATTTAGGAAAGGAAATTCTGGGTCAGAACTGGTAGGATGTGATTTCCCAACCAAAAATGTTCTTCATGTACTCTAGACGTTGTTCATATGAGGGAACATATGGATCACATCTTACCGAAATGAGGCCTTTTTTTCCAGAGTTCCCTCCATCA